ATAATTGTCTTCTTGTTTTTATTTTACACACATACACACAATACGGATGTGTACATACGTGAAAGAAGGAAGGAAGGAAGAAAAAAAGAAGGAAGGAAATTTTTTTCTTTTAATCCTCACCTGAGGATATTTTTTCCATTGCTTTTCACAGAGAATGGGAGGGAGAGAAGGAGAGAGAAACATCTATGTGAGAGAGACACATGCCGTTGACCAGAATCAAACCCGGGACACTTCTGTCCAAGGGCCGACGCTCTAACCACTGAGCCAAACCAGGCAGGGCAAGGAAGGAAAATTTCGAACTTGTAAATATATGGATTTTAAATAGATTTTTCTAAATGTATAATATTAAGCATTGAAGCTTTATTAGACTGAATGATGATCTCTGAGTTCTTTTTTAGCTCTAAAATTTTATTACTCAATAGTCCCATAGCCTTTAGTCACATATGTAATGTTTATGGTGGATCAAAAAGGTAGATTTGTTTGTTTGTTTGTTTTGGTTTGGATTTTTTTTCAATGAAGATCTCAAAGACTAGTGCAAAGCCATGAACAGTGGTTGTGTCAGGGATGGGAAATTGTCACAACTGCTGGATGTGAGAGCTGGGAGGAATCTTGGGAATATTGATTCCTAAGAGTGAGACCCAATGGCAGAGCAGTTCTCAGTCCCAGACCTCTAGCTTTTTGCCTCTGTACTTCTACTAGCTCCCTCTGTCTGCCTCACAGGCTCATTTTCTCTCTGAGCAGCAGATTATTGGCAGGTTGGCACACATAGAGCCTCATGCACTGATGACGCAGGCATGGAGCGCCTGACCACCTCAGCTCTGGGCCCCTCCTACCTTACCCGTGCCCCTCCCTGTTCTTCCTTCATCCCTTCAGCCAAGATCCCCTGGCAGCACTTTGCTCCTCCAGGCAGCCATCTGGATGTCACCACAGATTCTTCAAAGTTCATTCAGTAGCAAAATGTCTCAGTGATCACTAAGCCGTGGTTGAGGACAAGAAAGAAAGGAAATTTTAGGGGTTTCTATCTATAAGATTATTAAGTTTTAATTTTATTCTTTAGGAAATGTGATTTAAAATGAAATTTCAACATAAATCTTTTGTGATCTTTTACAGATAAGAAAACTTACGGTGAAATTTTTGAAGAATTTTATCCAGTGCGTTGAAGACTTCAAAATGCTTGCTTCGGCTTCACTGATAACAGTTATTTCTGAATTTTGTGGAACATATTTCCATGATATCTGAAGTTTATATTAATCTATATGTTAACACCTTGTGATTAAAATGGTCATCATGAACACTCTGACTCCTTTTTTGTCATAAGAAAAATCGCTCATCACAGAATGGTCAGTTTTCATTTGCCCAGTTTTAAGAAGACATCTGACAGATTTAAAAATGGAGTTTAGTTCTAGTTCAGAGTTGGCAGACTATAGCCTGTGAGCCAAATTGGGTCCGCCACTGGTACAGTTCTTTTGGAACAGCCATGCTTATTTGTTTACATGTTCATGTGTGCTTCCATGCTGCAGCAGCAGAGAACAGAGTTGTGCTGTTGTGACAAAGACCTTATGGCCTGCAAACCCTGAAATAGTTAATATATGGCCCTTTACAGAAAAGGTCTGCCTGCTCCCATTCCAGGGCAAAGCAAACCAGATTATGGAGAGTTTTGTAAGTTATGCAGAATAATTTTGACTTGATCCTCTAGGTAGTGGGAAGTCACTAAAGGGTTTTAAATGAGAATAACAGTCAGGCTTGTATTTCTGAGCTCTCTGAACAGTATAGCAAGTGACTCAAGAACAGGAGAACAGGAAACTGATACTGCAAAGGGGTCTTTGCTCTTAGATGGATCATCCTGGGGAAAATGGGCACAGTGCTGTCTACTGAGCTTGGTGCAAATAGTAGTAAAAGATCCCATCTAACTGGAATGAGGTTACTCTTTATTGTTCATCAAATCCAAATGCTTGTCCAAAAAGTTTTTGTTTCTAAGCTCAGATTTTATAATCAGATTATTTTTTGGAGGTTAATAAAATTGTTTATATGTGATTTCAAATTAGGTGGTAGTATGAATATAAATGTGGTTTCTGGGCAAAATTGGGTGAGTTCCATCTCCTCGTGAGTCCCTCTTGTTAAATGTAAAATCATGTCTGAGAAAGTACTTTAGACGTTAATAAAAACATGTACAAATAGAAGGTATTGTTTTTTAATTGCTATTGCACTAAGGTTCATAGTTCACTTGTGCTTGCAGGTACAAGAGTGAACCATTCATCCCAAGGGCCCCTCTTACCTCTTAGTTCTGGAGTCTAAAAATCAAAGGCTAGAGCAAATACAAGGTGAGAGTGGGAGAAAAAAAATGAGCCTATAAAATAATAGCACTTACATGCCAGGTGCTTTTGATTCTATCTTGTTTAATTTCTAGAACAACCTTGTGAGGTAGGCAATACTATTCCCATTTTATAGATGACGAAATTTAGGTTCCAACAGGTTCAATAACTTGCCCAAGGTCACACAGTGAATGACTGCCAAGAGTTGGTTAGATGCTAAAACCTTGGCTCTTTCTCCCATACCACACTGGCTAGGTAACAGGTAGTCCCTCATCAACTACTGACCACTATCCCAGGCTGGTAAGGGGAGAGGAGGAGTTGTGAATAACAGCAAGCATCCTAGAGGTGACCCAGTGACAAGTCCATGAATTGGTGCTCAAAGGGAGATAGTGAAGCATCCTAGAAAACCACGTCTCCTCACTTCCAGCTGCAGGTCTAGCCTTTCTGGTCTCATCATCAGGGCTAGTGAACTGCTCCATGTCCTCCTCACAGAGTCTGCCTTCTACCATGTAAAGGGATCTGTGGAGCGCAAAAATGTTAAAAAGCCAAGTCAGTGTAAATCCACATCACTAAGGTACTGTCATGTTCCTACTGAAATAGGAAAAGTAATGAAAAATCTCAATGGTGTTGCTGTCAAGGCCTATCAGTGTCACAGCACTGTAAGAAGAATCGGGTTATCAGAGCTGTAGTAACACTTCTGGTTTCACCTGTACATTTTACTAACAGGGAAACTGCAATGCAGACCCATAAGTTAGCCCTGGCCAGTGTGGCTCAGAGCATTGTCCTATACACCAGAAGGTCGCAGGTTCAATTCCGGGTCAGAGCACATGCCTGGGTTGCAGTTTGGGTCCCTGTCGGGGCACGTACGGGAGGCAACCAATTTGATGTTTCTCTCTAACAATCAATAAAAACATATCCTCAGATGAGGATTTTTAAAAAAGAAGAAAAAGAAAGGTAAGTTATCCAGAGTCACGCAGAGCCCATACAAGAGCCCAGGTTTTTTAACTTCCGCTACGCCACGAAAATCAGTAGTGTAGGGTAGAATTGCTGCTCTTGTCAGCGAAGCAGTTTGGGATGTTCTATCCACTTAGCCACCCCCAATTCCTACCTCCAGCCCAAGCTACAGAATCCTAAGGCTCTAAGGCAATTCACTAGCTAGAGGGAAGGAACTGGATGCCAGTTAGGCCAGGGTTCATTCACATCTTGGCTCTGCTATTTCCTGAATAACCTTGGACTCCAGTTTTTTCATCTGTAAAAGTGGATGATAATTCCATTAGATAATTGATAATGCAAGTGGTTTTAAACTATAAAACTATTCAAATGCCCATTGTTATTTTTACTACTACTGTTACTATTCAGTGAAGAAACTGACACCCAGAGAAGTGAGGCAGCTAAACCAAGGCCTCACAGCTCATTAGTGGTGGAACCAGAACTTGACCTAGAGCTGTTGACCCAACTCAGTTATATGCAAGAACCTCTGATAAGTGACCCAGGAAGCCTTAAGGGGAGAGTGAATGGAGGCTGAAGTTTGGATTTGGGCTTGAGGGAGTGGAAGGAAGAATGGCTGAGGAAATACCTGAGCAGAGATCTCCATAGACTGTGCCTTCTGGTCCCTGTTTAATCCCCATCATTACAGAGTGGCCTTTAGCCAGATTGGGAGGTAACACATATGGCCAAGATTGGGCGTGACGAAAAGAACACCCAGCTCAAAGTTGGGGCTAGTCTTGCTTTTGTCCCTTTAACTATATGACTTTCAGTGAGTCACTTCACTTCTGGCTTTCATTTCCTTACTTGTAAAATGGGGATAAAAATCCTGCCCACATACCCACATCTGTGGTTTTGAGATTCCCATGGACATGAACATGGTTTATCACCGATGAAGCCAGTTTGTGGGATCAGCGCTGGCAGGTGGCGCAGGATCAAAACAGGCTGATGGTGTCACCAAATTTCTCCCAATCTTTACCCAGGAGTGACCCACCCACAAAGGTCCCAGATCCACTTCCCATCACTTAGCTGGTGCCACCACCTGCTTGTCTAGCTTGCTGTCCACCCACAACTTACAACCCCAGCCCTTCTGTGTATAGACATATGGGCTCAGACTCCAACACATTTATACGTCCTCACAACAGTGCTTCCCTGTACACTGGTGTGCCTGGAACCAATTACATTGCCAACGCAGCAGACCTTCAGCTTTCCATTTGGCCGGCTGCAACCTGGGATGGCCAGAGCACCTCTACCAGGTGCAGGAATACTCTGAGCAGCCTCACCTGTTACCCCTACGTGACATAAAATATAATTTTTCATGTTCTGTGATTTGAAAAAATGTTGGATACATAGAATTCACAATTTACCTAAGTAAATACCCATTCTTACTAACAAATGTGCACATGCATAAACATGTATGTACCTGAGGTATGCAGTCACAGGTCACTTTTCCCTCTGTCTCCATAACAGTCACAACCATTACTCACCAATTTTGGGTAGGAAGGAGAGTAAGGCAGGCCTGGCCTTGGGCCTTCCCGTGTTGTGGTCCCAGAGCACTGGAGTGAGGGTGACTCTGTCTGAGACTTGGGCTCTCCCTCTCCCACTGGGTTGCACCACCACTCCCCATGCTCCCCTGGAATGTCCCTCAGTGGACTCTTGACACCCACTAGAGTGGCTACCATTACCTTCCCTAGGGTCCGAGGCCTAAATGGCCAGTCCCATTATCTCCTGGTATGTCCTTGTCACCTCCTCGGCTTTCAGGGTAAGGTGGGTGAGAATGTGATGAAGGCTGGAGAAGTGCAGGTGGAACTGAGCTTCTAGGTCCAGCTGCCCCACGACCTCCTCACCCTCCTCCTTCTCTGCGGCTTCATCCTCAGCCTCATTGGCTTTACCACCTGCCATCCTGACCTGCCACTCCTCCCGGGGCAGCAGCCCGTGCTCCACATCCACGCGGATGGCCTTGAGCATGGTGAAGTAGTTGTAGAGACTGGGGGCTTCAGCCGGGGCCTGGCGCCCGTGCTCACTCGGCTGCATGTCCCGCAGCAGGCTGGGGAACATCACCACCTGCTCCATGTTCTGCACGGCAGCTGAGTACCGGTCCATGACGGCCAGCAGGCAGTTCTTGGGGTAGTGCTTGACAAGCACCTGCATGGTCACTTCTCGCAGGCTGAGTCCGGCAGACTGCCCCAGTGCTCTTTCTACACTGTTATTTGTAACGTCTGGATGCGATGGCAGTTTGACAGAATGCCAAGTCCCTTAAAACACAGCCCTGTTTGAGGCCAATCCCAGGATTTGGGCCTCAGTATCTGTATCAGGCGAGCTATCTGCTCCAGGACAGGCCTGCCAGGCTTCTGCCTTTCTTTTCAGCAACCCTGACCGCCTGAGCAAGAGCCTGGCTCCTCCTCCACCAGCTCGTAGGACCAGTTACAGGGAAGCTTTGCTCTTTGGCAACTGGTGCACTTGACCCCAGGGCAGTAATTAATTTTCGGGGTCACCTGAGACCAAGCTGCCTTCTGCTGCCTACTTAGAGTAGCCTCCTAACGCGCAGCTCACATCTTCAACCTGGGGCGCCTTGACTGTGACATGAATTAGAAGGGCAATGAAAAGAAAGTGCAAAGTGGGGGGCAAAGAGCACTGAAGTGGGAGCCAGAAGCCTAGTCCTGCAGTTTCCTAGTGTGTTTTTAGATTTCTTTATTCAGCAGGCTCATTCAGCACCTACTTTGTTTCCATTTCTGCACTGAGCTCTTTCACAAGTTATCTCATTTAATCTTTCCCATAGCCCTAGGATGAATATTTACTCTTCCTGTTTAACAGTAAGAACACTGAGGCATAGGTAGCTAGAAGAACTTGCCCATGATACGACTGGAGCGGGGTTTCCAGCCCAGGACACCTCTCTCCCACTTCCAGCCAGTGCTGTAGACGCANGTAGCTAGAGGAACTTGCCCATGATACGACTGGAGCGGGGTTTCCAGCCCAGGACCACCTCTCTCCCACTTCCAGCCAGTGCTGTAGACGCAGGTGTGAGGGTGAACGAGTTATACAAGTTCACTGGGTCCATATCTTTATCCATATCTTTATCTGTAAATTTGGGGTATTGCTATGAGGATCGAATAAGACAAAGCTAAAGAAAGTGCTCTGTAAGCCACAAAGCACAGTCCTCAGATGTATTTATCTGTGCAGATTCTAGATTCATGCTCAGATCCCTCCGAACTCTAGCCTGTAATTCCACATTACAGTGCTTCCTCATTGCCACTGACCTAGTCCTTTGACCAAAGGAAGATAAGGATCCTTTTCATAGCTACCTTCTCACAAGTAGCAAACTGCATTTGTTATACTTATTTATGAGATAACTAGGAAACTGAGGCCCAGAGGGAGGCTCAACATTTCCAAGTTAGTGTCAGAGTCTAGTGGAGAACAGGCCCGTCTGAGTTCTGGTTCGGCCACCTGCTCACACCACCACCTCAGGTGGAAAGATCTCTAGGTACCTTCTGCCCAGCAGGGGCGGAGAGAAGCAGAGAGCAGAGGGAGGGGAACTTGTCTCACTAAGCTACTCTTACCCCCACCCCATGGCAGGAGCCCCCTTTGCATCCCCAGTATTGACAGTCACCCATTCACCCACTTCCTTCCACTCCTATGGCCAGAGCTCTGAGAAAGTTCATCTTTATGTTGAACCGAATTCTACCTCCCTTTAGTCACTATCCATTAAGTTATAATATTCACCCCACCCCCAAATCACCAGTCTTAACTATGATATTAGCACAACAGAGTGGTGTGAAAAACCACATCCCAGCCTCTAACTCACTCAATGCCCACAACATGAGGCAGAAAAACAATAGCATACCCCTTTTCAGATAAGGAAACTGAGACTCAGAAAGAGGGAGGTAGTATCCCAAGGTCTCAGCCATGGCAGGAGGGGGCTCAGCCCAGCTCTTTGGGCCTCAGAGGAAAGCAGCAGTTGTCCTTCTCTCCAGGCGTCCTTTGTGGGCTGCCTGTGTACATAACTGCAGGTGACCTGGGACCTGTGTTGGACAGTTGGCCTTGCCTCTTCAGAACGGAGAGGGCAGCCAATTCAGGCACCTGCTGTGAAGGGCAAAGCTTCCACTTTAATCCTTTCTGTACTGCAGGTTATGGAGTGGAACAGAGATTATGGGCCAGCTCTTCCTCCCTCTGGCTTTGCGGCCCTGGGCTAGCCACTGCTCCTCTCTGAGCTTCAGCTTCCTCCTATGTTCTAATAATGATCAGAGCAAACATTGATTGAGAGCTTGCTATTCTAAGCAAAGTGCTTAGAACAGAACTCAGTCCTCCCAACAATCCTCTGTAATAGGTGTTCTCCATTTACAGGGGAAGAATTGAGGCCTGAGAAGGTAAAGTAAAAAGCCAAAGCCTAAGCCTAGCCCGGCCGGGCGTGGCTCAGCTGTTGAGCGTCGACCTGGGATCCAGGTGATCAGGGTTCGATTCCCGGTCGGGGCACATGCCCGGGTTGCGGGCTCAATCAGTGACTCTCTCATCATTGATGTTTCTATCTCTCTCTCTCCCTCTCCTTTCCTCTCCCTGAAATCAATAAAGATATATTTAAAAAAAAAAAAAAAAGCTTAAGCACACAATTAGTTTAAGGTAAGGAGGAGTTGGGATGAGTAATAGCTCCTACCCAGGGGTAGTTATGAGGGTTAGAGATGATGTTTGTAAAATATCTGGTATATTGTGAGACCTCAGTAAATATGCACTGCCTCCTGCCGTTTCTCCTTTCCCACTCTGTGCTCCCCAATCCCTCATTTATGCCTCCATCCTAGGACTCACTACACACATTCCGGTTTATTTTGTATCTGTCCTGGGGCCCAGAACTGCAAATGCTCAGTAGATTCTGGCTGAATGGTAACCATTAGATTCACTTCTTGATACAGTCTAGGATCTTTGGCCGTAGTGTTCAGTTACCTTGAAAAAACAGGGTCCCTGGCTTGGCGGGAGGTAATAGTGAGGCTTTTGACAGGTGAGGGAGCCCAAGTGGCTGCAGCCACACTTGGCCACCCAGGAGCTGCGTGACACTGCAGGTGCTCAACACCATCTCACCTGACTCCAAGGAGCGGCTCTTTTCCAGAATGACTCCTCCGGAAAGGAAAGGATGTGTGCCATACTCCTGTCCTGACAGTCTTCGTTCTACAGGGTGCTTCCCCAGTTCTTACTGCAAATGAAAGTGTTAGCAAGACACATTAGTCCAATATTACCTCCACTGGTCAGTAGGGTGAAGAATTTGCATAAAATTGTGTCCTAAACTATGTGTGGAAAGAACAAGTTTTCTAAATTAATAAATTCAGTGGAAGAATTTCATTTTAACAGATTACTTAAGTAAACACTTGATTAATTCACTTCCAGCCCTAAAACATTTTTTGTTTGTTCACTTTTTACCTTTACTGGGGAAAACACTCTTAAAATGTTTTCTCCTTAGGAAAATGAGGTGTCCCTTGTTCTTGAACATCCAGGATGGCTGAACAATGGGCATAGCCAAAGACCATGAGGCCAAACATTGTGGTTTGGGTTTGGGGGGCTGCTGCCCAGACCACTTAGGAGCAGGCTCCCTGACCTCCAATGTCCAAGGCTGTGAAGTAAAGTGTTTGGAGACCTCTGAAAGGGAGGCCTTTCCAGCCCTGGTTGGGTAACTCCTTCTGAATCCACATGCAGGTCCCTAAGGGCATTACCCTATCTTAGTCCCTGTGTTTTTAACCCAGCTCCAGTGTCACCAACTCAGAACTGGAAAACATGATGTTCCAGTTCAGTGCACAAGGCTGGGAGAGCTGGCTCTGGCCCGATGGGTAAAAGAGGAGTGCCCTGCAAGTGGCAGCTTCCTTCCTTTTTTACCCAGTGGCCCGGAGCCACCCTGGGCCTCCATGGGCCACCCCTGCCTCATCTATTCAACAGGAGGGCTGATCTTGGTGGGGGCCTCTCCAGCTCAGACTTTGGGGAACTCCACCAGAGCACGTGGCCCCTTCGCCCCGCTGAGTCATTCTGCCTCTGTGTTTTCGTGCTAAAGCCAGTCTATTCCCACACTTGTTGCTGACCCTGGCCCGGAAGGACCGAGTGAGTGAGTAAATGGGTGTGCTAGTGAAAAAGGGAGGGTGTGAACAAACTGAGAACTGGGGGATGAGTGAGTTGTGAGGGTGAATGAGTGCAGAACTCTGGAGTTGCCCTGGGAGCGAGGGAGAGGAGGACCCACCTGGGCAGGGTCGTCCAGCCAGCAGGCTATAGACAGACTGCCTCCAGGTCTACCTGGCAGATGGCAGGCCCTGGATAAAATGGTGGTGAATCAGCAGCTTCCAGCCACCCCGGATTAGAAGACAGAGAGCAGGGATCTAAGGGGGTAGGCTGGATGGCTGGACTCAAAATGCCCCATGCCAGGGGTGGGAAGTTGTCGGGTCCAACTGGGCACTGCAGGCGGGGAGTCCTGGCAGTGGAAGGGAGTAGTTAGCAGGAGCTGGATTATACCTCAAGCGTCATTCAGTTTCCCCAGGCTTCTCTCCTGCCCTCAGGTAGGGGAAACAGGCTGACTGGGGTACTTTACTGGAATGGCCTCTGCAGAGCTGCCTGTGGCCCCATCCTCAGGGATCTGCATGGCCCACGTTGAACAAACTGAACTGATTCCAGATAGACTGGGGTCAAGGTCCTAAGGGCCAGGCCAAGAACACCATGGGAATGTGGTGCCAGGGTCCTGCCCCTCAGCTGCCCAACTGCAAGTAACCCTGGCTGGGCTGGAACCCAGGCAGCTACAGAAGGGACTCAGACAAAGGTTGCAGCAAGCTTTCTAGTTTTAAAAATGAATTGTATATACACCATCGCCTGATATCTATGGGCCTCAGGCTGTTTTTCTTTTCCCATTGTCACTCCAGTCCTGACCTATTGGGGAACACAGGGGCTCAAGGGTCAGGAGCTGTTCCACTCCCTCTCCTCAGTCACTGAGCCCCTGCTGTGTCAGGGGCCCCAAGAGAACAGAACAGGGTCCCTGCCCTCTAGACCTGACTCCCCCTGTCACCCAAGGGACCTCATGGATTGAGAGCCTGCTGTGTGTCTTCACTTATGCTGGGCCTGGGGCCACAACAGGGCATGAGGCAGACCTAGCACCCCACTCAGGCAACTTGGGAAGAGCTACAACAAACGTATGT